CAGTCGGCCTGTCGTCGTTGTAGTTGATTTTTTCTGCTTTTCTGCTGGCCATGTTGCCGGCGAGCTACCAACTTTGGTAACAGCTTCCGCCCGACGACCTCTTTAGTGCATTGAAGCGCAGCCATTCACCGATCCGATCGGGGATCTCTCTTTTTCCCCAGCATCTCTGCATTCTCGAGTCTTTGGCAAACATGGCCAGGAAAGTCGAAGCCAGATCTCTAAGCCAGTCGAGAGCTTGGGCAAACATCGTTGAGACTGGTTGGCAGCGTGATTTTGTATAAATTCTTCCAGCGGAATGATTGGCAAAAAGCCCTGCATTCGGGGCGAGTAATAATTTGTTACTCGTAACGAGCTTGTAGCGTCTGAGCCGCACGCTTGTTAACAATTAAATAAACAATATGAGTCTGCAGTAAACGCGGCTGCGGGAGAAACGACAAATCATTAAGCAAACATGGCCCAGTCGATCGGCCGAATACAAACATTTAGCTACCACTCTGAGAAACGGAGAAACTGGGAGAATCCGAGAGCTGAGAAGCGATCCATTCGTCACCGCCACTTGAGACATTTTTCTCTATTAAAAATAATATTTACGCATTCTGCTTATTTCTTTTTCTCCATCGCTCCACTCGAGAGAAGCACGTTTGCCATTATTTCCAGGCCATTTCCCATGAACACATCCACCTATTAGTGGTGGTTGCTGGCCGGCAATCAGAACCCAGGGTCGAGCTAGAAAAGGAGACCAAGATCCCTTGAACACTTGTACTCCATACTCGGCCACTTGAGGCTTTAATAACCAGAGCGGGTTGTATTGGCTTTGGCTTTTGGGCCACAACCACAACACTCACCGCTGGCCAAATGTGGAAGCCGTTGTGAACGTGGCCTTTCCATATCCATATCCAAACAGCCAAACACATGTACGCATTTTCTTTTCTCCTCTCTGCTTTTCCATTTCCATTTCGCTCTGCTCGAGTCTGCCATTTTAGTCACGTTCGCTGCATTTCAATATGATTTTCCTGCCTCGGACAAACCAATTAGACTTTTCCCTCTTTCCGTTCGGTGATTGTCGCATTGTTTCGGCTTACGGCTAATTTTCACTCTCGGTTGCGAAAAGAGCTTAGTGTCAGCGGAAGGGGCCAATCTTAATTTGGTGGGTTAGGCTGGGAAAACGGAAAAGTGGCAGGCTGTTTTGCCATATGAAAAGAGTATTAAACTTAAAGGTGCATAAAGTCATGAAATCGATAATTCAAATATACAACTCTGATTTAATGGAACCTTTATCGATAATACTTTGTAGCAAATACATTATTCCAAATTTGGTTTAACCCCTAACCCACTATAACCACTCTTCAACCTTGATTTATGACAACTCATCTTGCCTCTTGCGATTTCCATTTGCTGAATTTGTCATTCGAGTAGGAGAACGTTGCGTAAGCATCACCGCAACCGATAGACGCCTCCATCCGAGCACCCAGAGTATATAGATTGTATGCACTGTAATCGATAGCCGACTCACGCCTGGCATTGTTTCTCACGATCCGATTGCCCGGTGCCCACATTTCGATATTGGATTTCGACGTTTATTTTTGGCGCTACCCTCGAGTTGTAATCACAACACTTGGGCTTTCTGTCCCGCCCACGCTGTCCTAGAAACATTTTCCGTGGCGTATTTACTTAATTATTTTGAAGTGCTCGGCAAACATTTTAACACGAAAAATGTTTCAGTGAGAGCCGCACTCTGCAACTTATTTTCGGGGTTGTATCGGCGGCAAGGGGGCGTTGGGGGCGAAATTGTGATGGACGCCGACTAACGCACACAAATGTTATTAATTAAAATGTCATTCATTTGGAGAAACAATGAAAGGACTTTCAGCGTTCAACAAAGGGAGTTGGGGATTGTAAAGTGGAGGGGGTGTCCATGTTTTATTTGCAGCTGTTGTTGACAGTTTTTCCAAGAGCCCAGAGCTAAGCTGGCTGCAAAGCTTTAAAGCTGCTGCTTTTCCCTGGATCTGGACCACACGCAGCTGAGATCCCAAACTGAAACTGGAAACTGAAAACAGAATCTGGCCGCAAAAGCCACAAATATGTATGTCACTTGACACTTGCTAAAAACTGTATATCTCGTAGATAAATTTCGTGACTTTGGGCGCACAGAAGCTGCTGGCGAGTAAATTGCCCTTCACTTCGGACTCTCCAGCTGTCAATTTTTGGTGTCTCAGACTCCAAGTATCTTTGCCTTTTGGAGCAGCTGGCGATGGAGTTGACCACAAACCGCTGCCATCGATATCGCCAGCTGCCATTCCACAGTTATTCCCACTCCCAAAAAAAGGTGTCACCCAAATATAATATTTATTATCCCCGCTGGCGATGACTGGAAACTTGACTTGATGGGTGGCTTTGCAGCCTCCATTTTGGAACGGCTTCAAGTGAGCAATTGTCTTGAATTAATTCCTGCCCCATCACATCCAATCCATCAGCGTTTCACACCCTTCTTCAGATGGGAAACCAAAGCAAACACTTTCATCAAGCACACACTGCGGGAAAAGATGGTGTCTAAAGTATATAATGAAGCCTCTGAAGGTTTTATAGTGGCTTAGAAATATTTGAAGTGATATATGGTTGCTTTAAAGATATACAAGTAACCAAGTTCTAGTTCTATTGTTTTTACACAGTATTTTCTCTATCTGCACAGCCAGCAGACGCCGTCAAATTTAATAAAACTCACTGATTTTGATTGATGCGGCTCTTGGTCAGCAGCAGTTCCCGATTCGGAATCAGAATCAGAGTCATCAGCAGGGACAGCGAGCCCTGAAGCGTCAGCAAATATTGGCGGAAGGGTTGACACTCGACGGAGCGAGGGTTCGGGAAATCGGGCTGTTTGGTGGGTGAAGTGCTCGAGTGCTTGACATGTGACATGGACATGTCGTCCAAGTGTCGCGGCGCTCAATTGAAACAAATGAAGCGCGAAAGTTCTCCAGGGAGCGAATCAGAATCAGAAACAGGAAAGAGCAGTTTCAACTTGTCGCCGCCTCATCAGCGATCTGTTATAACGACATTAGCCGTCTCTTTCTTTCCATGTGACGTCTGTTGGAAAATGTAGTGTGGAAAATCAGTTGAATTTCGGCAGTCGCCTCGTTAAAAGCTAAAAATAACTTCGAATATCGGTATGATGTGTGATGGTTGAAGACAAAAATTATCAGGATCTGAATTCCTTATCACAAGGGTCATAAAACAATACATTTAATGATCATAAATTTAAGGGAAATGACGTCAGGAGTACAAAAATCAAATAAAAACACCTCTTAACGAGGTAAAAAACTAGTGACGACCGCACCTTCAACATACAAAAGTTCTGATATCAACATTTGTGACGAAAAATTATTACACTCGTCATTAAATAGACTTTCTAATCTTTTCTCATTCAGCCCGCCCTAGCAAAATATTCCAGCCTTTTCCCCTTTACAGGCATTTTCTATTGCAGCGTGACGAATGAGAAAAGATTAGAAAGTCTATTTAATGACGAGTGTAATAATTTTTCGTCACAAATGTTGATATCAGAACTTTTGTATGTTGAAGGTGCGGTCGTCACTAGTTTTTTACCTCGTTAAGAGGTGTTTTTATTTGATATCAGAAGTTTTTGTTTGTTTACATTTGCTCTCATAGGAGCTAATATATACATTTAAATTTAAATTGGTCAATCATAATTTTTAAACTATTGTATTTTAACAAATTAAGTTAAAAAGGCGTTGAACTATTTCAAAATACCTTTTAAACGAGGTATAGCACATGTCTGTACCTTTAGTAGTGTAGAACTTACAAACTAACGAAATTTAGCTATTTTTAGCTTTTTTCCCGCTAAAGTAGCGGCTTTTTCCAAAAGTCGTAGAACAAAAGATTCCTATATGGAACTCTTAAGTGCAAATTTACTGATTCCATGACCCTAAAATACAGTTCGTATACCTTCACACAAAATTCAATACTCAGGGAGCGTTAATTGTTCGAGCTGGCAAAAGTGGCTATTTTCGTATGAAAATAACTTTGAAACGTGACTTTTTACAGTAATGTGTTATATACCAAAATTTAAGTAATCTCAAGGGCTATACAGTTTAAAGTTTTAAAGAAAATCGTTAGAGCCGTTTTTGAGAAAAATAAAAAAAAGCTAAAAAAAAAGTTTTAAAAAATTGTCTTTTGTTCATATTTTTTTAACTATTACTTTTACACAAATTACATAAAAGAGGCGTTTATAGCATTTAAAAATACCTTTCAAACGAGATGCAGCACAAGTCTGTAGCTTTAGTAGTATAGAAGTTACGGCTTTCCGAATTTTAGCTATTTATAGCTGTTTTCCCGCTAAACTAGCTAGTTTTTCCAAAAGTGGTAGAACAAAAGTTTTTTATATCGATGTGATGAACGTCATATCAAATTTTCAGAACTTAAAAAACATATTTTGGACAAGTGGACAAGTGGACAAACTGACAAACAGAATTAAATTTTCATTTTGGGAAGAAGAAGAAAATCTTATTTTGGCTATAACTTTTGAACGGAGAGTCGGATTTTGACAAATGACCCCTCATTCGACGGGTATTTTCAAAAGGAATACAACTAAAACATTGACAGGGGGCATTTATCCCCACCGGCCCCAACAGCTCCAAATTTCGAAATTTTCACTTTTTCACTTTCACCGCTCTCTCTCCCAAGCCAATTAATTTTCTTAAAGTCTTGGTATGCAATCCTGTTAGTTTTCGCAATACCTTTCGATAGGTGTATTATTCATTATGATCGGACCATCACAGTAGATTTTCATTTCTTCGTGTATATATAGTAGTCGCCTTCGCACACTCTCCTGGTGCGCTTCGTCACTACATGGACTGCCGTCCATAGTGATCATTTATAGCCATGAAGAAGTATTATAAATCAGTGTATTTGAGATCTTTTATTTGATATAATTTTTTTTTTTTATTTTAAAACTAAAACTAATTATAAATTATTTTATTTACTTCCAGTTAGACCACGCCGTTTGCCGAGCGTTGACGATTTGACGCTGAGCTGCGACTCGCTTTTCCGGCTCTCGAGGCGCCTCCACGCGCAGTGAGGTGCGACCGCAGAGAAGGTCAGCCAGCAAAGACCCCGAGTGGTTCCAAGTCACACAATCGAACTAAGCTAAGACGCACAAGATGAGACACAATCGACTGAAGGTCCTGATCCTGGGACTCGTCCTGCTCTCCGCATCCTGCCGAGCGGACGGACCGCAGCACAGTGCGGACCACGGCATGGGCATGGGAATGGGAGGACACGGCCTGGACGCGAGTCCTGCGCCCGGCTACGGAGTGCCGGCCATTCCCAAGGACCCCAATCTGAGGTGCGAGGAGATCACCATACCCATGTGCCGGGGCATCGGCTACAACATGACCTCCTTCCCCAACGAAATGAACCACGAGACGCAGGACGAGGCGGGCCTGGAGGTGCACCAGTTCTGGCCCCTGGTGGAGATCAAGTGCTCGCCGGACCTGAAGTTCTTCCTGTGCAGCATGTACACGCCCATCTGCCTGGAGGACTACCACAAGCCGCTGCCCGTTTGTCGCAGTGTATGCGAGCGAGCCCGCTCGGGCTGTGCGCCCATCATGCAGCAGTACAGCTTCGAGTGGCCGGAGAGGATGGCCTGCGAGCACCTGCCCGTCCACGGCGATCCCGACAACCTGTGCATGGAGCAACCATCCTACACGGAGGCCGGTGGCGGCAGCTCGGGAGGATCAGGAGGTGGTGGCTCCGGTGGCTCCAGTTCCGGCGGCGGCGGCGGCAAGCGGAAGCAGGGAGGCAGTGGCTCCGGCGGCAGCTCAGCCGGCGGTGGCTCGACCTCAACGAAGCCTTGCCGCGGACGCAATTCAAAAAACTGCCAAAATCCCCAAGGAGAAAAGGCAAGCGGAAAAGAGTGCAGCTGCTCGTGCCGCTCCCCACTCATCTTCCTGGGGAAGGAGCAGCTGCTGCAGCAGCAGCAGCAGTCGCAGATGCCCATGATGCACCATCCGCACCACTGGTACATGAACCTCACTGTCCAAAGGATCGCCGGCGTGCCAAACTGCGGCATTCCCTGCAAGGGTCCCTTCTTCAGCAACGACGAAAAGGACTTCGCCGGCCTCTGGATCGCTCTGTGGTCGGGTCTGTGCTTCTGCAGCACGCTCATGACCCTAACGACATTCATCATCGACACCGAAAGGTTTAAGTACCCCGAGCGGCCCATTGTCTTTCTCTCGGCCTGCTACTTCATGGTGGCCGTGGGCTATTTGTCCCGCAACTTCCTCCAGAACGAGGAGATCGCCTGCGATGGCCTGCTGCTCCGCGAGAGCTCCACGGGCCCCCATTCCTGCACCCTGGTCTTCCTGCTCACCTACTTCTTCGGCATGGCCTCGTCCATCTGGTGGGTGATCCTCAGCTTCACCTGGTTCCTGGCCGCCGGCCTGAAGTGGGGCAACGAGGCGATCACCAAGCACTCGCAGTACTTCCACCTGGCCGCCTGGCTCATACCCACCGTCCAGTCGGTGGCCGTGCTCCTGCTCTCGGCGGTGGATGGGGATCCCATTCTGGGCATCTGCTACGTGGGCAACCTCAACCCCGATCACCTCAAGACCTTCGTGCTGGCCCCGCTCTTCGTCTACCTGGTTATTGGAACCACCTTCCTGATGGCCGGCTTCGTGTCCCTCTTCCGCATCCGTTCGGTGATCAAGCAGCAGGGCGGCGTGGGTGCCGGGGTCAAGGCGGACAAGCTGGAGAAGCTGATGATCCGCATCGGCATCTTCTCGGTGCTCTACACGGTGCCGGCCACCATCGTGATTGGCTGCTATCTGTACGAGGCGGCCTACTTCGAGGACTGGATCAAGGCTCTGGCCTGTCCGTGTGCCCAGGTGAAGGGTCCCGGCAAGAAGCCGCTCTACTCGGTGCTCATGCTCAAGTACTTCATGGCCCTGGCCGTGGGCATCACCTCGGGCGTTTGGATTTGGTCCGGCAAGACGCTGGAGAGCTGGCGACGCTTCTGGCGGCGACTCTTTGGAGCGCCCGATCGCACAGGCGCCAACCAGGCGCTGATCAAGCAGCGACCTCCGATCCCACATCCTTATGCCGGTTCCGGGATGGGCATGCCCGTGGGCTCGGCGGCGGGCTCCCTGCTGGCCACGCCCTACACGCAGGCGGGCGGAGCCTCGGTGGCCTCCACCAGCCACCACCACCTGCACCACCACGTTCTCAAGCAGCCGGCGGCCAGCCACGTATGACATGGAGAGTCGGGGGGAGCATCGACCATGGGCGGCGGCGGCGGTGGCGGCGGCGGGGGTGGCGGTAGCACCTTGGGCGGCGGCACCCTGGGCCACGGCACCGCGATGAGCAGCAGCACGGTCGGCATGGGCCCTCTCCCCGGCACCCTGATGCACGGCGCCTCCGGCGGAGGAGGTGGAAATCCTGGCAATGTCTACGGCAACGGCAACAACGGAACGATGGGCGGCCAGAACACCGCTCCGGGCTCCGTGATCGACTCGCGGGCCGTGTCCGTGGTGGTCACCCTGCCCGGCGGCCCGGGTGCCCAGCATCCGGGCCAGGCGCTCAGCGACTACGGTCCCATATAGTTAATGGTACGCCCGGACACCGCGCACTGGGTCTCGACCAGCAGTTTTAGCCAGCTGTAGCTGCTCACCTTGGTCGACTCGCACGCCCGGCCTCTGTCTCACTCGCACTCTTAGGCTCTCGCTCGCACCCGCCATCCTGCTCGCTCTCCCTGCCTGGCCCCCTTAGCAAAGGTTTTAAAGAAATGCCATATAAATTCGAGTAGCCGTAGTTTGTTTGTTGAGTGGAAAGCGCAAAAAGAGGCCCTGTTTCTGTTTTCAATTCCATTGGATTTTGCGGAATCGAAATTCATGAAATTTCCAAATAATTGTTTTGAAACCTCTTTGATTACCGATTGTTTTTTCAGAAATATTTTTTATCGAATTTCGACTGAGAAAAGAATCTGTATTAAATCCAAAGTAAAATTTCTATATTGTTAGTTCCGCCAAATTGTTTACGAGTTGGAAATCGAAACAAGGCCGTAATTAACCAATCTGCGCACAAGATTCTAGTCCAAAAGAAACCTTTGTCTTCAAAAGCAGATGAGCAAAGAGCTAAGGCGTAGCGAAAACAAAAAACGATCGAATCCAGTTGAAGCGCGTTTGTTCCACCTGCCATTAACTACTTTCCTAACTATATATTCATAATACCACCTTTTCTGTTGTTACTCCCTTTCACAAACACTTTCCTCAACGAAATAGACTGAGAAACGCAAAACCAATTAAGTAACCGCCACGTAGAGCACTCGGGGGTAAAGTAGCGAGCGGAATCTGCCCACACTGCCAAGTCAGAGCCACGAGCCATATTTCGAAATTACAACTAACTTTTAATCAAACTAACTACACTATTAACCTTAACCTAACCGTAAACATTAAACATAACGAACGCATAAAAAATAAATTAAAAAAACACTTCGTAGAAAGTTAGTTGCGATTTTAGGGTTGTCGCATTATCAAAGAACAGGCAGTCAGTGCTGCCAGATACCATTTGTAAATTATTTAACATAACCTAAGGCATTATCCAACACTAAGTTTTGTACATATTTTCAAATCGCGCCTAGTTTGTAAAGGTCTTTTTTGTTCAGATATAAGAGATTCCCTGAAACTAAAATATAAATATAGTAACTTGCATTTCAGCATCAAAAGCAACTCTGCATTTAAGCTCAAAAATTGAATTTAATTTTTACACACAAAACCCAAAAAGAAAAGTACTACCAAAACCCTTCTGCCCCCATCACCATACAAATAAATGAGTAAATGGAAATTGCCAACTTTTGCAGCCGATGCAGGGCATTTTTTTGCATTTATAAAAGAAGCAAAAATAAAAATTGTATAAAGCTAAAACTTTTATATAAGAGTATTAAATTAAATGTAACCTTATTTGTAAGAAAAAAACAAAAGAAACGGCAAACAAAAGCAAAACGAAATATCTATCAACCATTAAAAACTATTGTATTTAAATTTAATATTTATATTACATGGTAAAAGCAACAATTTAACTGTTAGCATTTCAAACCATTTCACATACGAAACAAAACAAGAAAGAAGGGATTAACTTTATATTATAAATTATATGATATAGCAACAACTATGTGTGTAATGTTTTTTAGCAACTATAACTATTTCTATAAACGAACCGAAAAAATGCAAAAGCTGTAATAAAAACAATATACAAAATATTTTATTTTTGAGTTACTTCTTTTATCGTTTAAACATGATTTCCTTATGCATGACAAGTAAGTATTTATCCTTTACGTTGCTTTGTTTATTCTTTTTCTTAATTATTTTTTATTGTTTTTTCGTACTTACTGAAGAATCCCTCGAACACTTATACGTATCATTAAAACGAAGCTCTCCAAGTTAAGCAAACAGAAGCAGAAAACAAAACCAAAAAAGTGTAATCATTAATTAGCAAATTTCTCTACACGACGTACAATGTTTAATAAACATATTATACATATTGAACGCAAGAAAAACAAAATCCAATACATCCATTTACGCGTACTATTTGATGTTGTTAATAAGCTTAAAAAATATTGCTAGCTAGTAGCGTTTAGTTTAGTTCTCTAAGAGAAAGTTGGATCCCCAAAAGGACTTTTGCATTTCTCCAACTTTAGTTCAAGGCGTACATAGCAAACGCTTTTATCTATAAATACAAAATAATAAAGGCTAAAGAGTGTAACGAATATACGTAAATGGGAAATCCAAATGAATTGAAGTGGTAAAATGTAAAAATAAAATGTGCAAATATAATTCTCGACTCGAAACATTTTCCGTTAATTTTTTGTGATTGAAAATTAATTTACTAAATTTATGAACCGAAATTGATTGCAATTTGCGAATGTATACGATTTTTTAATTTTAAAAAGAAAATATTTCATAATGGAGTGGATTATAGATTGATAGGTCCGGACAAAAGAGGATAGAAAGCTGGGCGGTGATTGATGGATTAGTTGAAGATACATGGAAACCAGAAACTTGACGTCAAGGTTAGTTGTGAATTGTATTTTGTGAAATGTAATTTAATAATAAAATAAATTAAAAACCAAAAGCAAATTATATATACACTACATATTTATATAAAGCGAAGCGGCAAGGAAACTGGCAAGAAAATACTTTAACAAAAATTCATGCAGACATTATTTTATTTACAAACAAAATGCATTTTAAAAATATAAATCAAAACAAAAACGAAATAGTGTTGTTGATTGTGAAACGATTTTTATGCACACATAAAGATATACAACAGCAACTCAAGTCAAAAATCAAATGCGTTAACAACAAATATACGAAGAAGCAGCAGCAACAACAATAATATTAAATACATTTGTAATTGAAAGAGAAAACCATTTAAAATAAAATTTAACAACGTAAGATGACTACTTTATTTTTATGGGAATGGGCACAGGATTCAATTGATTGTCCTAATGGTCAATCAAGGACAGGTCAATGGATTCGGCACAGGCCCACCTCTGAGCTGAATTTGATTTTTTTCTTTTTAACGTAGGGCTTTAACCTTTAAAATTTATGGGAACTCTGAGTTTAAATCATTCTGTAAATTTTAAAAGCGGGCGACAAAACGGCACTTATAGTAAAGACATTAAATGTTTTATTCCTACTTAAAATTTAACATGCGGATAAAATGGAGTCCGCCGACCCTTAGGGCCGTTCTTTCGTCCACCAGTTAAATTTAAATGAAGATTTAAATACTACTTTAAATTTAACAAAAGGAAAGCTAAGCTCCCACTAAGAAAGCACTCCCACTAAGAAAGCACACCACAAAATGGTCTGAACCCCTAAGAGTTTAGATGTAGAATGTAGATCTTAATTGAGTTAATATTTTACACAGTTGTTATGCGGATATTTATACTATTAAATAAAAAAACATAGCAATAATTAAAATCAGCGACAATAGATTGTTACTTCTAGTATACGTAAGGGTCATTCCTCGTCAAACGTAACACAATATTTAAATAAAAATTCGAAATCAAGGCTCGAAATAAAGAAAATATATAAATGGGATGCAACTTTTTAACAGTTTAAAAACTTTCAATTTTTTAAATAATTTTTAAATTTTATACTAAATAGTTTTTAAAAATTGAATTTAAAAAAATGTTGTACGCCGAAATAGTTTATGTTGCTTACACTAACTACACTGTGCAGCATCAAAAATTTACCTCGATGGATGCTACATTTACGAATTCCAAAGTTAAACTGCCTCTGAGAGCTCCGGAAAATTGGCCAATTTCTGCATTTTTTGAACTTTGAGGTCCTTTTGCTAAGAATCCTTGCGTCGGGGAACTTTTTGGAAAACGCAGTTTAACTTGGAAATTCGTAACAAATCCAAAAATTTAGCATCCATCGAGGTAAATTTAAAAAGCACTAAAAATGCTGCACGGTGCTATCTACAGAGTGGGTAATGGGGTTTCAGTGGAAACTAGATATAACTTACCGTGATGAATTGATATAAGGCCACAGAGTGGCGCCCCTCTGTGGCGAAACTATAAACTATAATTTCGTCGTCAACGTGTATTTTACATGTATAGTAAAAATGTAAAATGAGGACAAAGTGAATTCTCTTATACATTAATATGTTAAAAACTGTTATGTTTTTTGACCAATGCATTGGTCATTGGTCATAACATTGCAATGTTGAGTAAGAAGTTTAAATATTTAAATATCAGTTACTTAACCGCGCTTCACGGCCTAATACAAGTAGGGTTTGTAGTAGGGTTTCTCCCGAAAGGATCTGTGAGCATGAACTGCACTTTAAAGTATCTACAAACAAGATATGGAAATCATAGTTGCATCTGAGGTATGAGGTATGTCGCTCCAGATGCTACCCATCTATGAATTTCCTGGTTAAATTAGGTCGGAGGCTCTACAAGAAATTAGTTGTCATCTACATTAAAAAAATATTCCTGGGGCTCTTTTTATGGGTCCCCGGATAGCTTTAGGACACACACATGTTAAAATAAATTAATAAAATTAGTGTTTCACTACGTTATGTAAATTATAGCAAGAGCGCGTTTAAATGAAATGGATCCTCATTCGCAATATGGCAGCTACTGACTTGCAATTTATTCCAACTGTCTTCGTTCGCCATTTTTCGATTCGGGACCCAATGCAGTTGAGGCAATTCAATTCCTTAATTTTTTATATTTTATATTTATATTATAATTTTTATATTGAGTTTATTGAGTTTACACTCATAGAATTTTTTACCCTAAATCGCCCTAAAAAACTGACTTTTCGCCCGTGGATTTAGAAAATCGCCCATAAATCGTATCCGCTGGCGATTCGCCCGTGTATTTAGAAAATTTTTCTAAAAAATCCCGATGGAAATTTGGTTTAATTTAGGGTGATTTTTCTTAAAATAAGAAATATTTTCCTGTTTTTAGGGTGATTTGCCCTAATTTTAAGGTGTATTTTTCTAAAATTAAGGGCGAATTTTCTGTTTTTATAGGCAAATGCCCTAAAAAATTATAAAAATTAAAAAAAATCGTGTTTGAGCATGCTTAACTGAATTTGGGAAGCATGTTTTTTTTTTAATCGTCTATATTCTGGGACTGCTGCTTTAATTAAACAACACCGGCGGAGGACACCGTTTCATATTATTGTATTGGTGTGTAGCTTATATGGGAGCTGCGTTAAGAGGGGGGCCCGATCTTTACAACACAGCCGTTAGAACTGAAAAATCATGTTTGTAAACGAATTAGGGAAATAAATATGAGGAGAAAAAACAACTTACTTTTTTTGGTCGTTGCGAGAATCGAACCCACGACCTCTCGGTTTAGAGTCTAACGTCCTACCGCTGCACCACAGACCCATCGCGCAAGACAACGAACAAACTCTGCAGACATCTTATTTTCTTGAGGTCTACGTTATATTTTGACTAAAGGCAACTAAACCGTATATTTTTTTCCTGACGACTGTGACAATTAGTCCCGTTTTCTTGCCAGCAAACACAAAGATGCTTTTAACTCAGAACTCCCATACGTTTTTAAGGTTTAAAGACTACTTTAATTTAAAATTCGGACGAAAAAATGTCCTTAGTATTATAACGTTTACAAAAAAAAAAAAAATAAATAAAAATCAAGTTGAATCACACAGGGTTCGAACCCACAACCCCACGACCTTAGTCCTCATATAGCAAAGTTGAAAGCGCAAGTGATTAGACCGCTGGGCTACCGAATTTCACACTTTTGGAGTGATTTTTAAGGCGAATCGCCCTTGTATTTAGACAAATTCTAGAAAAAAAATTAGGGCAATTCGCCGTTGGATTTAGAAAAGGTCAAATCGAAGCAAATCGAAAAAATCGCCCTAATTATTAAAAAAATAGAAAAATTAACCCTAAAAATATTTTTTTATGGTCACCTGCCTTGAATTTATGGCAAAATTGTCGTGAAAATAGAAAATTTTTCTCAGTTCAAGGGCGAAAATTTTTTTAGGGCAATTTTCTAAAATGTAGAAAATTATTTTTATGAGTGTATTCTTTGGCTTCCTAGGCAGCGCAAGTTTGTTTCATCTGAGCGCCACGGCCAGGTGTCAGGCTATTGTGGGTGTTAGAGGGTGTGTGGCGCGCGGCTGAAATAAACTTGCGCTGCTTAGGAAGTCCAAGAATATGTGTGGGAAATATCAACCTTCTAGCTTTTGTAGATTCCGAGATCTCAGCGTTCATACAGACGGACAGACATACGGACAGACAGACAGACGGACAGACAGACAGACATGGCTATATCGACTCGGTTAGTGACCCTGATCAAGAATATATATACTTTATAGGGTCGGAAACACTTCCTTATCCCTGTTGCATACTTTTACTCGAATACAATACACCCTTTTACTCTACGAGTAACGGGTATAAAAATCGGTTTTATAGTGTTTATCAATAGCTATCAAAATGGAAAAGAAATTTTTCAATTCGGACTATTCTTTAAAAAGTTATGCTCGGTCAAAGATATATATCTCCATCGCCCTCGCACTCCGTTTAGCTAAGTAACAGGTATCTGATAGTTAACTTGAAAAGTAGAGTAAAGTAAAATAAAAAGTGGACGAAAACAATCTACATTTACTATACATCGTAAAGGTATGCTTTTTACAAGCTTTATGTAGAATCTAATGACATGTGTTTTACCACAGTCTACTTACATATATTTTATGTATAAACCTCCCTTTTAAAAATACCCTATTTTCGATCAAATTCAAAAGCTACTGAGAGCATTAACTTTTTGAACAGCGAGTTTTAGCAATCTAGTTCTCCGTTTTAATTTAAAGTTAATGAAAGTAATGTAATTTAAAGAATGTAACAAGTCCTCTAAAAGTGTAAACAAATTTTGTTTCGTTATTTTTGAATTTTTGACCGAATTGTTTTCATAGTTATCCTTTAAGAGTTGTAAAGGCTGCCGAGTATTTTATTAAAAAAAAACATATGCATAAAAAGGACCACGCTTGCTTCCTATCTCAATATATGGTGGGTAGAGTTCTTCCATAAGAAGCCATTCATCATCACTTTTACCGTGAAAAACTGACAAAATACGACCACAATGCAATTATTACAATTATTTTTCAATTATAGACTTTTCATTGTTGTCGGACACTCCACAAAGGCCTTAGCGCCGTGTCCTTGCCAAAGTATTAGGGCACGAATTTCAAAATTTCGCCTGCCTTGCCAGACGAAAACTGGCGAAATATGTGCGAGCGAGAGAGTGCTTACACGAATTATACTTATATCTACTTACCGACTTATTTTTAGTGCCAGCTGAGCGGAGTGCAGCCGAATAGCTGTGATGACCTTACGTGCATAAATATTTCAGCCGACTCCTGCTTGCTGGCTGCCGTTTTCAAGAGCAAGGCAAGGTCCCTGCAGCTGGGCAAAATGCTGGGTAAGGACGAAAGTTGTGCCACCCACTCGGAAGGCGGAAGGAGGAATGCCATCCGTAAGCTGGTCAACAGGTTGAAAGTGAGCGCAGTTGAAACTTTTCGAAAGTCGCCAAAAAAGGGAAATTAGTGCCAGTCGGCTGTCGTGGCCATGAAAATTCAATTAGTAGACGGGCGCTAATTAATAGCAAATTGAAAGCTTTCCACTTGTTGAGAAAGGTTTTTCGAAAATGCCACACAGCCATTGTCCAAGCGTAAAACACACACGGCTCACGTGCTAAAAAGCTCCGCACGTGTCCTGCCGCACATGGAAAGTGGTGGAAAAGTGCGAGGGGGTGGGAGGGCGGTGGGAGGACCCACTGAAAGCTTTCACTGCCAATAGCAACAGCGTGCCCCAAACACGAGCTCCCCGAGCTTTGGCCGACTCCAAAAACCAAAAAATCCTTTTGGCCAACAGTTTGTTGCTCAAGCTGTTCCTGAACGGACGTCTCCCCCAGAATTGTTCGCTCCCGACAGTTGTGACTTCGATTTAGTTTCGGAATTCGATTCGGTTTTCCTTTAACCAAAAAGCAAAAAAAAAACAGAAACTGGTTTGACGGGGAGTTGGTCCCCAAATTCGAGGAGTGGAAATTTCTTTGCCTTTCAGTTCTCGTGTGTGTGTGAGTGTCTACATATTTGAATAACACAACGATCAAAATTAAACAAAACCCACAAAAGAGTGCTGTTAAACGGGCGAAAAGGGAGTGAACTTCTTTTCGGGGAAGCAGGCTAACTCAGGAGGCTAAGTTGGCTGCCAGCGAGACTTGTTACCACCAGCAAGTTGGCTGGGGAACATGCAAAGCCAACATTAGATTGTGTCAGCCAACTGACTTTAAATGGCAGGCCAAGACGGCTACATGACCAGCAGAATATAAAGTGTTTAAGGTCTTAGGTCAGTGAATAGCTCCAGCAGTATGCACTTCCCAGAGGAGCGAATGTGGCATTTAATTAGCACAGGACATTAACTCATCAGCCATGCGGAGTCAGCCATTTGCTGGGGTCAGAACTTAGCCACTTCTGGCCAAGAAGGACGCTAGGGTAGTAAAATGGTTAAATTAAAGGGAATGCTGAAGCAGATTCTTTGGCAGCGTTTTATTACGGTCAAAACTAGGAGAAAATTAAACAGAGAGCTCAAGAATCTTATGATTCGAAAGCATTATTCACTGAACTTCTTGCCGCAACATAATTGAGCTGGAAATGCAGTGAAAAAAATTTATTCCTGAAATTGTACATTGCATTCTTAATTTGAAGAGGATATAAAGTATTTAATTTGATTTAAGACTTAAAATATATATGTATTGCCGCAAGCATAACTGAGCTGGAAATGTAGTCAAAAATAATTATTCATGAAATTGTTGTTATAATGCATTCTTAATTCGATAAGAATATCAAATATTAAATTTGATTTAAGATTTAAATATATATGTCTTGAAAGACCTCCGGCCAACATTTTATTTTCGTTAATTGTTAAATTGTTAAACTAAAAAAATATCAGGCATGCGGAACGAAGAATTTAATCCATATATTTTAGGGCCCAAAACAAAGGGCGACCCAAAAAAGTTTGGATTTTAAGTAAACGTTTAACTGGAATAGTGAAAATAGGGAAGCCAATATTTAATATTATATTTTCACTTAACTATACTCGTGCACCTAAAGACTTCCGCCTCCCATTGTTTTATTAACATGCGAGCAAGGAAGAAAACTGCCAAATCAGCATTGATTCGAGGTCATAATCCAAAAAGTTAAAAAGCAACCATGAAGACCGTTTGACTCTGTGCTCTGTGCTCCTTTGACTAGGAAATTCTATGGCAAAGTTAGTGAGATTTCCCCCAAGGCTGTGCTGCCATTCACACAACTATTCGCAGTTTTGTTAAGAGTTTAGCGAGACTATTTTGGGCGGAGCGGAGCATTCAAAGTGGAGCCAGGGGCTAAGCCGTCCAAGGCCATCTGCATTTCAAATGACCAACGCAACAATGAAGGCTGAAAATCAACAAAAGAGGAGTGCCCCTAAAACAAAAAAAAAGCACGGCAAAAAGCAGCAACATCGGCAGTGACAATAACAGAGAAGAGGCAACTGAGAATTGTCGCATGCAGGGTGGGGCCAACACACACATTCGAAAAGGGGGAGGCTACTTAAAAACAGCGCACACATGACGTCATTAGGCATATTAAATGAGTTTACAGCGCGTTTGTTGCTGCACACGGAAAAAAATAGATTTCAAATCAAAAAAGTTAACTTTTTTTTTTGATTTTTTCTTAAATTTATCGTAGATAACCCAAAAATAATAAATTTATTTGAAGCTGAAAAATTTCGGTATTTTTGTTTATGTTTTGTGGGTATCATGTAAGATAAACTGAATAAACAACTAAACAACTTTTTTAATTATAAATATACAATTTTTTTGAGTTTTTAGAAGAAAAAGTTCTATATATTTCGGAAGAAAATTCTTCTTATTTGGCTTAGATACAGTGGAAATTGGGTATATTTTTTTTAGGAAAAAACTAGATTTATGTAAGTAATCCCCATTTTCTGAGTGTCTTGTTGCATGGCGCTTAGAGATGAGCGGCAAAACGGTAAAAGGCCATTAACAAACGCCTAATGGCGCACTTGAGACACTTTGCAGCCAAGGGGCGTGGTCGGAGGGGCGTTATAGGGTTAGGCCAAAGCTGATAATGCGAATGGATCTGCGGTGGAAGTCGCCTTAAATGGCCAAGCGGGGAAAACAGTATCCACTCCCTCCCTTTTACTTTCTCCCACTGTCATTTGCTAAGCTCGGAAATTGAAGTATTAAATATTTATCCAGTGCACGGAAGAAATCACATAATTCTCGGCAAAGTGTCGCGGTCATATACAAAATTGGAGCGCCTAATGCATATGTGAAATGATCAACCGAAGGGCCATTTGTCAGCATCCCCGAAGTGTGCTGCAAAAAGTGTAAAAATAAACAAGCAACCGGCAACTAACAAGCAAACAACAGCAATAACAATTTGTCAAGTACACAATCCCACGCCAAAACACAAAGCAGGTGAAAATCCAAAAAACGCAGCGCAGGAGCGGCCAAAAACGCGCTGGTTTTAAAACGTCCCAGAGCAGCGAACAAAGGATTATCGCCATGGCAAGGACCACGGAACTGAAGCTGGCTACGGCGGAGCCTGCGAAATGGTAAGTTGATGACCCACATTAGCCACAGTGACCTGGAACAGACCCAGTGACTCACCATGCGATCCAGAATCCGAGTACTGCACAGCAGAGATGAGAATTTGGTCAGTTTTTGTTAGAATTTGAGTATTCACTAAACTATTAAATTGTATTACTAAAGTTTCAAATTAAATTTAAGAAAACTAATATGTCTAGACAGGAACTGACAAAAAAAATAATTTCCATAGAAGAGCCGCGAGTTCTTAGGAAGAGAAAGAACTTTCGTTTCTTTAGTACCAAAAGCGAAGTCTTCGAAACAGCTACCAACCTGTCGACTGTTCTAATAAAATATTCTTGAAAACACGATAAAATGTCGAAATTATCGATGCTGTCAAAAATAATTTTAAGCTCTACTAGCTTTTGAGTACGTTTCTTATTTTTATTTTTACGTTTTTTAAGACCACAAAAATATTTTGAAAATCCAATCAAGATTGGGAATAATATCTTCAGAATGTACAAAAAGAGCCATTTAATACTTTTATTTTATAAGGAAGTCAATTTAAATGATCGATATGTATAAAAAAAATTCGTTCTTTATAAACAAAATTTTAATTTTCAAAAAATACTCGAAATATGTGTTGTCGAGATTTGTTTCGTTTTCTGGCGAATTACCAGGCACCTCTCTTGTTCATCCTCGGCTCCTCTTAACCAATCAATATTATCAAGTTAGCAAACGCGAATTGCGAGTTTGCGTCCTCGGGCGGTGGTTGGTGGGCGGCAGCGCTAGTGAGTAAGTGTTGTCTGAAAAAGCACGTGGAGTTTATAAAATATGCAAAGCAATACATATTTAAACAGCCCGGAGAGGCGGAGGCAGCTCATCGGAGCAAAAGATGAACATGTCGAAGCCAACGGCCATTGCTTTTGTTTTTTACATGCCCACACGTACAGGTATCATGTGTGTGCGAATATCGCATATATACCTTTCAGGCACCATATCCTACATGAAATTATATGCTCGCTAAAGATTCCATTTCGACCGTACACAATCTGCTCAGCATAAAACGCTCTTAATATAACCGAACTGTGCGCCCCCGGATAATGAAATAATAATCTGTATCACCGGCAAACAAGCATTAACTAAATGGAGGATTAGCCAAGAATGTTCTTTGATGAGCTTAATGGAGGGGACAGGTGAATAACTGGGAATTTCCCGCTTAGGCGCTTTGAAGTGATTTGAATAGGCGCTTAACGTTGAGCATTAGCTATTTAATTTTTGGAGTCTATTTTATGCAATTATCTATGAATCGCAGTAAAATATATGTTTCTTAAAGTGCTGTCAGCAGTCAGCTTAAAAGACAGGACAGAACAAACGAAAACCGAAACCAAAAGGAGAAACAAAAAATTAACAAATGGGACAGAAGTAACTTCTATTAATTAATTAATAATAAATAATAATAATAAAAATATTTAACAAAAAATATAGTAATAAAAGTTTCCATTTCACTTACCAATTCGTATTTGCAGGATATCAGAGTGTGGCGATTTTTTACCATTTTTGAGAAATGCTCGAAATAGGATTTTTTAGTTTAAACAAATTTGGGGCTGAAACTGAAAAAGGGGATTTCATATAAATTATATGGCATTCAATTCTGTCACAATTAATTTGAGCTGTAAATACGCCTTTAAATAAAGTTTACGAATGAAATTTACAAGAGTAGGAACATTCAAAACGAAATGAGATATGAAATATATTATTGTTATATTATTTTAATGCTACCATTTTACTTCAAAAATGTTCAAAATGAAATTTCAATTTTTTTTGGTAACTCAAACTTCTAAAGAAATTATTTATGCCAATAGTAAAATTTAAATACCAAAGTCAAATTAATAAAATACAATTCTGTAGAGTTCGTTCTCTATTGATAAAATAATTGTTAACAATAGTAAAATTTAAATACCAAAGTCAAATTAATAAAATACAATTCTGTAGAGTTCGTTCTCTATTGATAAAATAATTGTTAACAATGTGTAAAATAAAAAAAGTGGATTCAACACAATAACCGCTTACCATAAAAAAGGATTTACATAAATTTGCAAGCCCCAAACCTTTACGTCCGATTCCTCCATAAAAAGTACCTTGATAACAGACAACACATAAATATTGGCATTCAACAGATTTCATTTGAATACACATTCAAAGTCTGCCACCCATAAATCCGTTACCATTGTGGCATTTAAATCCATAAGGCAGACGTAAACATCACGAGAAGATGGGATTCCATTGTTGTCGCTCTGATTGGCAGTAGACACGGGCAAATCTGATACCAACCCACGTCGAATCTATGCAACTGAGCCGGCTCAGACTTTTGGCCGAAAATAGCTACAGGAATAAATAGCAAGCGCCGCGGAAAAGAATGTGGAAGGCTTTGTGTGGGCCATGGAGTTGTAATTAAAAGGAAATCCATATTCATTTCGTGTAACCATCCGCAGCGAGGAAAAAAGTGTGGCATGCACGGCGAAGGACGAAGGACTCGGAAAAATGGGAAAAGTGGAAGGGGACTCGAGGGGAAAAGGAGGCCCCGAGTGTGGCATGTCTCTTTGTGTATTTGTCAGTCTGGCTGGAACGACGCCGAGGAATGCTGACAGGAGCATTCCTGGTCCCTGCTTTTCTGGTCCTTATGCTTGGCAGGATATGGCTACGTGATACAGAAGCCACATAATCTGGGTGCACTGAAGAAAAACAATGTTGAAATATAAACAAAGTGATATGACATAAAATCGATTCAGGAATAAGTGATTTTACAGTATTCATCTATATACAGCAGCTAAAATCCACTTATCTGAGTTTTTTATATTTTACAACGTGAAGGAAGCTATTAATTTTTATAGCACTTTACCCTCCATTTAATCTATAATTATAGATTATAATCTATTTAATTTTCTTGATCACATTGTCTAAACTGTTCGGCCTCTTTCCTAGTGTAAAGATAGTTTCGGGACCCTAATTTTCAGGCACGCTGCCAGCTCCAGTGCATATTTGCTTTCACTCGAAAGCATCGAGGTCTGCCGAGGGTCTGGGTTTGGCTATGGGCTTTCTGTCGGCCTATTTTGTGGTTTGCTTTGCATGTTGCAAACAATTTTCCAGAGCGGCGGCAGCAAAGCGGCAAAATGTTCGTGCGACTAATTTGTGAAAAAAGGAAGAAAGCCCGGACAAGCAAAAGCAACAACGTCGACTGGCACGAGACGTTAAAATCAACGGTCCGTGTCCATTAAAATGGGGCCAGAAAGCAGAAAAAAAACAAAAATATTATAAGCGCAGCTCTCTGCGTTCCTGTTAATGAGAAATAATCACAGAAAAAAACAACATCAGCGAAAAAGGCGAGCAAACGGCGGTACATTTAATGTCCCCGTGTGAACATGTTGGATATATAACCAACCGTATACTGTATATATGTATATAGTACACAAATAAGCAGAACAACCTTTTGCGACAATCGGTAAACACACAAAGCTAATAAAAAACTGTAAAATATTCAACAATTGGCAAAGCTTTTAAGAGTCTTACAGACGCCCCTGATATTGAAATGTAAACCCCGCAATTTTCCGCCCCACAGCGGGCGCCAAAAAATATGCTACCCATAACGCCACGAAGAAAAAATATTATGGAGCAGTGATAAAGTGGGGGGAGATAAATAAGTGGCGCACGGTGAGTAAAATGAACTGAAGGAGAAGGGGAAAAGAAAGCAAGAAATTTGTTTTGGCTTCTTAAAATGTTTTTTTGTAAACTTTAAGTGGGTAAGGCATTCTGGTTAAAGGATACTTTAAGGTGAACAAAGTGGTCTGGAATTCATAAGGAAAAATTGGGAAATTGCCTGTTAATTTACTTATCCAGCTAAGAATAATGATTCTGTAAATATTGGTAATTATTCGCCTTTAAATCTCAAGATCAACTGAAAAAAAAAATATATCATTTAGTTTTGTTTGCTATTTCTTTGGAAAGATATAAGACATACAAGACACCGTTAAGTTGAGTACTGTGTTTAGAAAGGCATTCCATGAATATTCTCAAAAAAAACGTGGAATAGGCCTGAGTATTTATCTCTTAATCAGGAAATCGGTAGTTACCTTAAGTACGCATTTACCATCAATCACCGCGCCGCCGCCACCTATTGAAGTCGTATATTATCTGTCTCATTTTTGAAGGTCGACCCAAAGTAGAACCATTTATAAATAGGCGACCCAGGAGCGTTCTCTTCGGTAAGATTATTACCAGGGTTGTGGCCATAAATTACGCAGCTAGAACAATGCTCTCGCACACAGACAATGTCGACTGGCTTTAGGTAATTCCCGCTTTTATAATGAGCATAAAGGATAACCACAACAAAGCCCAAGGAGAAACGGAAGCTGGAGCTTCTTACGGAATATGCATAGAATTATGATCTAACAAAATTGCAAATTAATTGAAATGAATGGGGAGCAAAAACAAAACTTTTTTGCGGCAAACGCAAAGCAAACACCAGCCGGGGAAAACCAACTGCGAAACAAAACGTAAACATTTCAATTATGTCGCTGCGGCTGAGGGAAACTTTTTTCGTGCTAATTAAGCTCAATGGGTGCTCAGAGTGGAGCTCCAGTTCCAGTAATTAGTCGGCTGAAGTCTAAACAAAGCCAGGAACTCGAAAGCAAATGAGCCGAGTCGAAATGACAGTGAGAAGGGGGGGTGGAAAATGGGGGCCAGAACAATGGCAGCAGGCCATTTCCGGTTCGCTCATGTGTGCCGTCGTTTTCCACCAACAGGGGGCGCTCGAGTGCTCCACTTCCGCTGTCCTCTCGCTCACCCTTTCTGCGATTGTTTTGGTGTTTGCCTTCGTGTGGGTGTTGCAGCAACAGTTTGTTGCTGTTGTTGCTTTGTTTGGCTGCTTGTTTGCCAAGACAACGACACGCTTATAAATTTTTAATTAAATTGTTGTTTTCCAGTTGTTTTTGCTGTTATGGCTTAGTCCTATCTAGTCGCAGGAAGCGCATTGATTGTCCCCTTTCTACGATGTGCGTGAGTTTGTGTATGTGTGTGGGTGTGGGTGGGTGTGGCCATATCCTTTGTTTGGCAATTGATTCACTATAGCTTGTGCAATCGCCTGTCCATATTCGATAGCTTCCCCGGGGCAAATTGAGTTGTTTAACTTGCAATTGAACCGGGCCAAGAGATTAAGTGGTTGAAGTCCGTAAAGTTTAACCTATGCAAAGAAAATCGGATTGAGCACTAACTGGAAAATGCGGCTGGTGGCTTAAAGCAATGATTGTTTAAGCTTTAACATTTTTCATTGAGTTTCAAAATAGTCCTCATGATGTGAGCTAATGTATGTGGTAATTGAAAATTTGTTACGTAGGTTCAATGACTTTGCGATCGTCACCAAATTTTTACCTCGTCAAGAGGTGTTTTTGTTTGATATTTTTAAAGCTAATTGTCGATATTATTTCCTTGTCTTTATTTTTAAAATCATAGAGTTTAATAATAATTAGTTAATTATACAATTATGCTTTCAAAATTGGGATTTAATAGTTTTAAAAATAAAAATGCTATCCTTATTTTAGAAAAAATGTATTAATTCCGAATTTTAAAAACAAATTAAAATAAAATATTCTAAATAAAAAACAACAAGCAAGATAATTTTTTTTAATTTCCCACGTGCTGACGGTTATTCCGACGCATACTGAGCACATGAAAGTAGTTTATCCTGCGTACACATGTCTAGGCCATTAATAACAAATTTATTATGTATTCCCTATCAGAGCTCAACCAAAAGCTTAAGCCAAAACCCCATCGAGACCATTTACATGTCTGAACAATTTTTTGTAGTGCTTGCCTATGACAAATTAACTTATTTAGTTGCGGCAGCAGCGGACTGTCGTACGAAATAATTTATCAAATTCCTATATAAATTATTGATGTCCTCGCTGAGGACCGAGTTTCGGTGTGTTTGTGTATTTCTAAGTGGGTGGGTGTTGCATGTGTGAGCTGGTACAAGTGCTCACGCCCACACAATATTTTCTGGGTCCTGCTGCAAGGCGGTGGAATAAAAATTGCCATCAGGCGTAGGCGTAGTGGCAAATGCCAATCACGGGCATTAAGTCAGTGGCAAAGGAACGGCGGTGGATTTCGGTGTTCTGAGTGGGAGGTACAAATAATGAGCTCGGTGGGTATGGAGCGGCCAGAGCCATAACGGGAAATCGGGGCCAAATGATAAATGACAGTGCAGTCGAGGCCCCTCAAAATTAACATAATTTTCTCCTTTTAATTGGCTGATGGACGGGATGTGCACAGGAAAATATTTTGCGCTAAATACAAACTTTCAGCAGGAAAATCAAATAAAATAGTGCATAATATCGGTTTGGGTTTCTTTAATTTTAAAGAAACTTTAAGTAAGGAGGTTGGCCATAAAATAAGTTAATTGCACCAAAGTATTACTTTAGGATTACTCATCTTATTTTAGATACAGAATTACTGCCAGTTAACAAAGGTCAACGAAAACTAACGCCAAGCTACAGGCTTGTAAGGAATTCGCCATTTTGTAGAATTAACGCATTCTTGTCATCTCCCTTGTCTTTTTAACATTTAACATGAACATTAAATTATAGCTATGGGATATTAATTTTATGTGTTGCAGATCGTACCCAACTTTTCTTCCGGTGCAGAGAGAGCAAGGGGCAGTTACCAACTTTCTTGGTGTCGGTTAGGCTTGTTTGTGTTTGCGTTGGTGTTGGTTAGTGTTGGCTGCTCCTGTGGTGCCGCTGCCATTCCTATTGCCGTTGCTTCTACCGGTGCCGGGTAATTTTGCATGCAAATAACTGGAAATTAGTGTAAGTGCTCACTGACATGCCACACACAGAGCGCCAAAGCCAGTGCCTGTGTCTCGGCCGGAGCTCCTGGATCCTTAGCACCTCCGCTTCGTGCTGCCAGGACTCCTTCTGCCTTTCCCGAGCTTCCAACTACGTGGGCAGACCAAGGAAACCCCACAGCCAATGGCAGAGACGGAGATAAACAGACGCCGGCCCCATAAAGTGGCAAACGCTTAGGAAAACTGCTTTCAACACAGGAAAAATATAATAGCCAAGTGCTGCTCCTTTATAAAATCTTCAGTGTCACATATGTAATTCTATAAGCACTTTTAGATAGTGTTGGAAAATAACATTGATTCGTCTAAGTTTTGCAAAACATTGGTTTCGTTAAATTGGAGAAAGGATTTAAAAGGTCTGAATGTGCATTTTCTGCAGCTTCCATTTACTAAAAATTATGAAAGCAGTTGTTTTGTTATGTTTAAATTCGTAAGACTGCTATAAAAGATTATTGTGTTTTTTTAAAGGCTAGTTAGTTTTACTCAAATTTACGCTACTACTTTTAGAACTATTTTTGACGATTTTGAGCTTTAAAGATTTTATTTTTGGTACAATAGATACTTAATTAAAGTACTCTCTGTAAATTTGAGTTTCCTTACTTTTAAAGTTGTGATTTCTGAAGTGAAATAAATTGTTTGTTGATAAATGTTAATTTTTAATTTTGAATGAAGGTTAAGTTTTAAAATATTTGATAAAATTAAGTTAAATTACATTTATAATATTGTGGACTCTTTTGTGAATTCCTTCCTCTAAACTGGTATTGTGTACTTTTCGCTCAGTGTTGAAGCTCCATGTGGGCGTTGTATGGCAGCATATCTAAATCGACTCCTCAGCCACTGCCAATGCAACTTTCTCCCTTCGCTCAGCTGCTCGCTGTCCTGGAACATCAGCGCTTTAAAATGCCATTAAAATGCAATGAGCGCTCAAACGTTTTATGCCACGAGCTGAGCTCGGATTTAAAATTGCAGTCGGTTAACTCGCTGAGATGGAATAAAATCGGAAGTGAAGAGGCGTTGCTGTAGAGATGATATTAACATAATTATGAACATAACATAATTATAAAACTTTACTCGGTTGCATTTAATTGGAAATTACGAGAGCAGGTTAGCTTAAAATTTGTAAATAGAGAACAGTTGTTGATGTCCAACGATGACCGACGAATTACAAATATAACTAAGCCGTGTGAATTCAAATTTGTACCGATTTCATTGTTCTGTATTCAAAATGTCTCAACTCTCCTAGCGTTTCTATTTTTATATAATTAATTTTTGAACAGATCAAAGTTATTTATTTCCTTAGTTTTATTGAAATTTTCCACTTTTTAAGAACTTATTAGCCAAGTCGATATAATAATACATTTTCTTTACCGGTTATTATTATCATAGAAATATCATCAGCTAGTCTGGACCCTTTGCTTTTTTATACATTTTCGTGCGGCTCATTTGTAAAGTGTGTCGAATGAAATTATTTCTTTGTGGTTATTATATCTAAACTCTGACAAAAAAAATTTAGTCACATTATTACCGTTGAAATGTATAAGTCCCACTTAAGTAGCTTTTTCTTGCTGCTGCTGGCAGAAGGATTTTTTGGGAATCGATTTCAAATTAATTTGATAAAGGAGCTGAGTAGTAAACAGTTACCGCATAACTTTGTGATTTCGCCGTTTGCGATTCACCAGGCTCTGGCACTTCTCTATCTAGACAAGGATATTCGCAAGGATTACCAATTGGCCAAGGCCCTTCAATTTACAGGCCGTCGTAGTGCCAAGATTGTGAACTTTTTCGGAAAAGCACGTTGGAAAGCGAATAGGCAGCATTTTGTAATGGCAAATCGAATTTATTTTTCACCGGATTACAATGTATCGGAAAACACACAGAAAATAAATAAAGATCTCGGTGTGGATGTGGAGCACATGAACTTCTCCGACGGCCAAAAGTCAGGCGATGAAATTAAGAAGTGGTTAAGCAAAACCATTGAGAAGGCTTCACAAAACATTTTTGATAAAAATGATTTAAGCAACGCCACTCAACTTGTGGCCTTACAGGGTATGTCTATGTCGTGTTTGTGGAAGCATCGAGCTAAATCGCTGACAAAACAGAGCTTTAGTATCGCCAGACCTAACAAGACGCCTTACATCATCAGAGTCGATATGATGTATACTAAAGCTCCATTTGAGTTTTTCAACGATGACGAAGTCCGCGGTGTTATGATCCCATTTTCTAGGACCGATATCGGTATGCTGGTGTTGATTCCCAGACGACAGGGCACCCAGAAAGTGCTACAAAATCTGGATAAATATTTGCAAATAAAAATGAGAAAAGCAGAAGAGACTCATGTGTTCTTGCCCCTTTTCACAGTCCAAGAAACAATGGACTTAAATGCAGTCCTGAAAGCTGTGGGCATTAAGAATATTTTCAACAACGTTGGTGACGAAAGCCATGCGGATGCAGCTAATTTCAAGCAATTCAACTTTCTGGAAGTCAAGCCTAATCGGGTGTTAAGTAAGCAATTTTTTACAAGGCCAAAACTCACATAGGTGATCCTTATTGATTTATTTTGCTTTACTTCCAGTAAAAGCAGATGTGGGGAGCGACAACGACCAAAGAGTCGTCAAAGTCAACCAGGCATTTGTGTTCGTTATCAAGGATCAGAGCAACATTTACATGGTCGGGCGGATGGAGAATATTTGATAGTGCAGTTGCAGGAATTTCCACTGAAATGTCAGCTGAATTGTAAATTAAATTAACTTGAATTAAGCCAAACAAGAGCCGCACAAAAGTGTGTTTATTCCGGCCATTAGTGAAAGCGGCTGAAGTGGGGTTATCCCGCGATTCCCCAATGGCATTGTTTACAACGTTGCCGCGCATATTAATTGCCTGTTTAAGCAAATTGAGGCCACAAAACATCAGCATCAACGTTGGTTTCCAGCTCCTGTTCCCTTTTTTCTTTTTTTTTTTACTGTGTGAGTTTGGTGCCCCGTGGCATTCCACAATTACTCGCGATTGCGGTGCCAACGAAGCCAAATGCTGACAATTGCATCATGGCAGCCGAGTGGCGACCCTCCTTGCATACTGCAATTGCATAAATTATAAGACTGGGGCACCGGAAAGCGACGCTGATTTCCCACAAACCCAGCGGTGCCAGAAAGACATTGACGACAGCTCTCGGTTCTCTAAGTGCCGGTTTCTCCACAGGATTCGAAATGAACGGAATTAAGGATGTGAAAACTGGCAGGAGGTCTCCTGAGCTGCCATGTACGGCTTTGATTTTGGGTTAGCTACCTCGAGGTCGGTTTTAAGGTCGAATAAATACAGGTATCGAATGTTGAAATAAATTATTTAAATTCTTAGTTAACCAGCCAAAGCTTTGCAAGAAATCAAAAACTAATTGACCGAGAATATCAGAGTGATTCTCTATTTTTGAAGTTCCTGATTTGTGAAAATAATAAAAGGTAAAACTACTTTAAATTGTAAGGGATTACAGTTACTTTAAATTATATTTTTTGAAAGGTAAATATATTTGTCTTTTCATATACCAGATAAACACTTATAGAATTGTTATTTTCGATCCCTGATGTTTGAAAGTTTTATAGGAAAGTGAATGCTTTCGTCACAAAGTTTAGAAAATCTTTTTCATTATATATGACACCAAATTTTAAATTAAGGGACAAGAATTCCCCATTACCAAGCATAAATAAATTATTAAAATCCATTAGTTAACATTTGAAAACCCTGTCGAGAGCAATTAACCTAGAAATAGTGCCCCAATTTACGGGTCTTGTAAGTTCTTGCACAACATGACATTGCTCATACGCTCCGTTGGCCGCACAATCACAACAAACTTGCATGCACCAAGTACTTTTATTGGTTAAAATAAAAACCGATGGCGCCTACGTTTCACATGGCTAGCAGGACTTCCTGGGGCGGGAGTAAGTGGTGTTTCCTCGGGGTGATTGCTGCCACGTAGAGCTTATAAAATGCAACAGAGTGCAGCGACATCGACATCGGCATCACCGGAATGCACAAATGAAATTTTCAGGGCCGAGAACCACAGATGGCGGTGGCAAAAAGGTGGATTGGCTCATCTAGAAGGAAGGTCAGGCAGCAGCCAAGGATTACACGGGGAACAAATTAAAAAAAATACATACTTAAACATTTTTTTAATAGGTACTTTGAAGGTAGCACTCATCTTAAATGACGGTTTCTTGAAAAGTAAACAAAAATATTATTCATAAATATGTTATTTTATAAAATAATAATTTATAAAAAATAATTTTAGTACCAAAAAAGTAAGTCCCCAGATCAAACAAATGTTTAATTGCGTCTAATATCAAAGCACGTTACCAAATACCAAAAATTGTTTCATATTAAACACCTCATAGAGAAGGTTAAACATTTAATATAACTGTGGCGTGGTTGAGGGTGGTTGAGGGTGAGGCTAAAAAGTAAAAGTCGTGAGAAAAGTCAAATAACCTACGAAACGGAAAAGTTTGATGAGAACAAATGGCAACAATTATAGGGCAGACAGCGGATACTCGTGCTAGAATCGCTCCCTTTGTTCTCGTACTTCAACTTTATCCTTGGCTTTTCTTTATTCCCTCTTTTGCACAGAAGTTAAACTCACTTAATTGAATTGAATGCCAAACATCGACGTCGATGGGTATGATCATAATGAAGGCAAAGTGCACTCGAGTGCAAGTTATTCAGCCAGCTCTTCTTGGCAATATGGCAAATGGATTCGACTAACAATGCCGTAGCTCATAAATGCCTCCTCTTCGCTCGAATGTTCGAAAATCGGGCTAAGGAGAATGTGTATTAGCGTGTCAAAATGACATAAACTAAAATCACATTTTAGTCCATTGTTTGTTGTAGAGACATGGCAGAAAAGGGCATAAAAACGATAACCGAGAAGCGCATAAGAAATGGCAAATGTTTACGGGGCCTGAAATTCGGAAAAAATCTTTATATACGCATTAGCATTAAATTAATTTGTTTACGGGTATTGCTACTAAAGCAAACACTTGGGTAGCCATTTTTAAAAACAGTAACTATTTTAAATTCGTTAGAAATATTTTTTTCAAAATTACAATATTATTTCCCTTGTTTATCTGTTAACATTTTAGTGAGCAATTTTAGTACAGTCCAAAAAGTTAGAAAATTACCAAAAATGCGTCCTCTGGAATCAATTTCAGATGACGTTTTCTTCCCCCATTTACCCCATTTACCCCACCTCTTTCCAACCTTTAAGTTTACCCTTGTCCAACTGTTGGCTTTCACCTGGACTGCATAAGTTATCCTTTGTTTTCACCCATTTTTTTATTGAATGTTCACACGAGTCTGAACCATCGTCTAGTTCACAGACCCCTCCTATCCCCTCGTCGCCAAATCAACCCCACAGCTCATTTAACACATTGACTTTTGGCTTATTAACACCGGGACACAAAGGAAGGGTCAGGTTCGTGGCGAGACCAAGGCTGTTTAACTAATGGACTGGGCATTAAATCGAATACGCTCGTTATACACATGACTTCGATTATAATCGATAATGATTTGTGTGAGTAAATCAGGGGGAAAGCTCCAACACGTTCCACGAAACGTAGATTATAGTGAATGCACGTGTTATGCTCTGCGTTTTCAGCTCCTTTGGCTTGAATCCTTCCAACTATTTTTTGTTATTTTAGACCTGTGTAAATAATAAGGTACGCTTTTATTTGTTTTAAAAATGTATTATTACGTATTAATTTTGTTTTTTTGAATATTTCTATAGAACTATAGAACAACTATATGATAAAGAAGTCCAAAGTATAAGAGAATATGTTCAAAATCGAATCTAAACCTTGTTTCCTATACGAGTTTCATTAATATCTAACCATTCCTATTCTAAATCTAATTCGAAACTCTTCATTATTAAAAAATGATATTCACAAGATTAGAAGACAAAAAACACCGAGTCTATTTTTTTTAAATTTGTGTTGCATTATTTATGTGGAAAGAAAATTTTTAGGAAGTTAAAGCCCAATAGATTTAAAACAAAGTTTACGTAGAAACGGACAGATGGACGGAATGACATTTTGTAGAGGAAAACTACTAGAAATAGCGATTTATTTGTGTTTTAAGAAATATTATCTCAAAATATATTGCCTGAAACCATTGGTCTATAAACGATTTTGGTTATCCAGACATGTTTAAAAATTGAGACTACACAGAGAAAAAAAACGGAATGGAACTGATATTGTTTCATATCAATTTTTCCATAACAAAATGTTATGTTTTCATATCAATATGGTACAAAATTATATGTTCGGAAATATCATTTTGATATGAAAACAGATGGGACCAAAATTGATATGAAAAAATACCCGATTAATGATCATTTTTGGCCTTTTTTTCTCTGTGTATAAATAAAAACGTTAAGGCTGCAAAATAAACGTTTTAAAAACAAAAGTACTCTAAATAATTATTGGTCGTTAAAATTTGAATTGTTATTTTTTATGATGCTTAGTTTTTTATATTATCAACCTAGTTTTAAATACTATCGGTTTTAATGTAATAACCAAATGTGTTTGCGTGCCACTGTGCGTATACTTAATAAGTGCTCCCCACTTTTACGGCCATAGACTTTGACTGCAAGTTCTTTTCAATTATAAACTTATTTGGCACATTTCAAATGCAAAACTAGAAGCGGTCTGGTAACTTTTGTTTCCTCGACAATTTGTGGCTGCTCTTTGGCAAAGTTTCGCCCTGCGAAAAGTCGCGTTGTGCTACGCATAGAAATTGAGTTGCCCTCATTGTTGGCTCTATTGTTATTGCTGTGGCCACAAAATGGTTGGCGCACAACAACACTTAAGCTTAAGTGACTGCTCGAGACTTTGTGTTATTTTTTTCGTTGGCCTGAGAGAAGCAGGGCAAACCTTGTGACTGCGTGACCGGAAAGTGTTTGGCGCTTCCGGTTGCCGCAGCCACCGAAGCGGCCAAAACCACCGCAGCAGCCGAAACCACAGCGGAAGTTTTGCCACGTAGACAATAACACCCATACAGCCACAGTTACAAGTGCACGAGCACAAATACACCCAGAAAAATTATGGACAACATTTTAGGTCATGCATAGCCTAAAACATTTTAAATGGACTAAAAGTTCCTTTTTAGGTCATGTACTGCCTAAAAATTTAAATTTTTGGTATATTTGCCCTACTATTTAGGTCCCGTATAGCCTAATATTTTAGGTCATCGTGGGCCTTAAAATTAATGCATTTTACCTAAATAAATTTGCACGGAACTCTGATACTGTTCTGGCGACGCTATAATTCCCAACCAGTTATAGCGCGGCTTGCATGGTAACCCACTTCGATCGTTCACCAAGACAGCGATTTCACTGCTGAACTGTGAAGCCTCCTCGCTCCTTTTTGTGTGTTGGCATAATGACGACTTCTTGAAGACTAAGCCCGACATTGACCTCGAGTTAGCTATAAACTTTTCTGTATTTACTTTATAATATTATAAATTTTTCAGTACATATTTTTAGGCCAAAGAAGGCCTAAAATTTTGGATAGGGGTTTTCTCATATTTTTAGGCAGCAATTACCTAAAACCTAGGCCAAAAATTACCCAATTTTAGGCCATGAATGGCCTAACATTTTAGGTCATACAATCCTAAATTTTAGGCCATTCAAGGACTTAGCCCCAGTTTTAGGCCAATTTTACCTAAATTCTAGGCCATTTTTTGACATTTTAGGTCATTTTTTTTTCTGGGTGTACAATGGCAGCCAGGA